AATTTTCGTGGTATTATTATTTAAAAAGTGTGCGTGCCCTGCTTTCCCAGCTCAGAAAAACACATGAAATTTGCATGCCCCAATCAAAGTCATTTTATTGTTTGAGCTGAACTGAGCGCGCATACTGGCACATACCGTCGTCCGTCGTGTGGTAATGTTTTAAATCATGGCCTTAATCGACTTAAGATTTTAATTTAAAAAAATATAGACTATAAATTCCAATTGATGATACGGAAGAAACGCTTTATTTACAAGCACTATGTACATTACTGACAACTAATTGAATCCGTATTTCAAATCTATTTCAATAATTTATTAGGATTCATCAATAAAATGGTCAAAAGATTTATAGAGTCGTTCTCAAATTCAGTATACACGAAAACAATCAGATCTTGTCAAAAACAGGATACACTTCTTAGGAAATTAAGGTATATGGTAACCAAAAATTCAGAATTACGTATCTTGCAAAACAAACCGTTAAACTATATACTAATTTCATTCCAATTTTTAAAAACCAACATAAGTTTTCACTGATATGCCGAGCCTTGCATACTGACTGATTACTATTTGCAAAAAAAACGTCTAAATCTTTATATCGTTTGTCAGTTTTGACCATGAAACTCATATTACAAAAAGCAAGCCTACTGTTGCTATTGAGCGAGTCTTTTATTTGGTTGAGCATAACCGGCAGAATTCTTCTTTTGTCATATAACTGAAAATAGTTAAATTTCATCATTTACATCCAAGTTGTGACTATTCGATTCAAAATCAGTGCCGGTACTGAACTCGCTATTTGAACTGTAATAAAACTTGTTGAAAGTGCGGTCATAAAACAAAACATGATCACTGTGGTCTTCCAAATGTCCATGAGAGAATTCTAGATCTTCTTTCTCGCTGTCGAACACTTTTTCCGTCGCGCTAAATTCCTTATTTTCCTGTTTCCCGTTAGAAGCCTTTGAGTCGCTTTGCTCCACCGTTTTTTGTATCAAAGATTTCAAAATAGCTTGTTTTGAAAAACCACTGTCGATTTGTTCGCGTATCTGTTTGTCTAGTAATTCAATATCCTCATCCATTACTTTGCTACTTTTTTCATCATAAGTTGGATCTTCTTTCTCGTTATTTTCCTTGCCATTAGATTTCAAATTTAGCTCTTTTTGACGATACTGGGCGCAAAACTTAATCAAAGGACTTTGAAAGGAGGGTCTCGATAGTGTAAAAGTGTCGTCAAGGGGTACTGTGGTCTCGATTTTCTTAAATGGGACAGGGGCAAAAGCCCCGTCTTTTTCTATCTCGTAGAAATTCTGTTGATGCTTGATTCGCATGTTTCGACATAGTTCACTCTGTTGAAAAAATCAAAGAAACTGGTATTTAAACCAATAGTGTCTCAGATTGTTCATCATTGATTGATCTTCGCAAGGTTCGTAGAAATTAAGTTGCAATTAGTTAGGTTAGTTTCTTTGTTAAATCAAAAAAGAACATCGGAAAGATAGCTGTTATTGGCTACGCAAGAATGTTAGTTCATAACCCGTTTCATGTTGTAGTAAAATTCATTTGAATTGATCAATCACTACTTGGTGAAATTGAAGCTAACGTTAGTGAGCGCCAAAGTAAAGATGACGGCGAGGATCGAACCTGTAGTCTATGGTCTGCAACTCGGACAAATTTACCAATGACCAGAGTAATAATAGCATGCTATCAAGTCAACAATTGCTAGGTCTATTCAAACGTCGTTAATAGATGGCGATAATATAATGTGAATAATTTAGAATTTAAAAAGTTAATCAGACAGAAAGTCATTGGTTAGTTGTTTGTAATCCGTTTTCAAATTCACACACTCAATTAGAAAGTTATATAATAATTAGAATAATCAATTAGAAATTTTTGATTAAAAAAATACAAGATTTTGTTGAAGAGATCAATACTATTAGGCCCTTTTTAAAAAAGAGCACGAACCAAAATTTTTTTCAATGAACTATAAAAAAAACAAGATTTTTGTATGCGCGACGCGTAAGCAGTAACAAAAATCAGTCCCACAAGTTATCGCGACTTTAAATGATGAAAACCAATTGATTCATTTTTAAAGACGCAAGCAATATCTCTTGATACTGGACATTGTTGGGACAGGGTTTTCAAAAAAATGAGCAAATCTTACTTTTAGTGAAGTTAAGGGCCATTCATGGCAGTAAAAGCATAAAAAAACTTAAGCATTAAACTAATCCTGTCAAAGAATCATTCCATCCATCGATATTCCAAAATTTAATATACAACTATATTAAATCAATTTGCAAAAATATTAACAAAAATTATGGAGCTAAAAGCTTCTTTTAAAGCTAAAACCAAACAAACTAAGACAAAAAATAAGCAGAAGCCATTCAGCCGAAAACAAACCTTCATCATTTTTTCTTTACCAACAGAAGCTTTTAGTGCATATAAAAACGTAGAAAGTATTTTTAGCGCTGGCCAAAAACTCAATTGACAAGCCTATTGAAATAAAACATCGCAGAAATAAGTCGACCAACATTAGAGAAAAATCCACTACATTACACTAGATTCTGATTTTTTTTTTGCAAATTCAGCACTAAATAGAGTACCACTGATTTAACAAACAAACTGAGATGCAAAAAATCACTATGAATTCAAATTTAAAATGATTCTAATTATAGTCCTCCTGTGAACACAGTTGCTCCCGAGGAGAAATGCCAAGCTCACGGCGGTTGCAATATTCTTGCTAATCGCAGCGGTAAAGCTGATATGAGGCAAGTTTATTGATCCAACTATAGTAGCATTACCAAGTGCAACTTAGGACTTGACTGTGATTTCAATTCACTATTTCAGACTCACTATGATCGAAACCCTCTTCTGCTCATATTTTCAAAAGGAATGACAAAACTTTTCAGCTCACTAATTTCGATGAACGACCCGTTTTGTATTTAGTCCCGGCCAAACTCCAGCTATTCATTCACCCTTGGGTTCATTTTCCGCGAGGAAGAGAGATGCCATCCATTTTGCCGCAACTGATCTCACCAAGAGGAGGCGGATGGCACTAGCACCCCTCCAACCGTGACGGAAGCGGGATTCGCATCCACGAACTATGTGTTGCAGACAGCGCGTCTGAACCACTCGGCCACGGTTGCTCATGAATGACCACTCTACCTCTGGCTGTAGACTTAGGCGTAGGCTGCTAATTACTTCGACTCAAAAATCATTCAGCAGAAGCATCATGAACAAGAATCTTCAGAAACAATGGTCACAAAACATGTCCAATTATACGATATTTATCAGTAAATTTCGCGTAAGGTTAACTTTTGTTTTAAATTAGTAATCTCCACTTCATCGGAAAAAGTATGTTTGATTTAATTGATACGCTTTGCTAGGGAAGACCTTGCAAGGACATATAGGAGGCCCTCCAACCGAGCGAAATGGTGACAAATTTGCATGAAAGGGCAAAGATTGTGAAAACAACTGGAAACATTGTCATTAATTGCACAGGGGCAAAGCGGAGCTCGCACAACCTGCCGTACGTAAACACAAATCGAAGAAAATTTCTACAAAAAAAAAACATTCGTTTAGATAAAGCAAAACTCAATCAAAAACTAAAAACCAAATTGATGATTATAAACAAACAGCTGACACGACAGAGAGGCACCACATTTCATAACGTGTATCGTGTATAATGGTCAAAATATATTTATAGACAATCAAAAATGGTGATTACGATAAAATTTATACTCCCAAAAGATTACTGCTACATTCTAGCAACTGAAAAACTGTAGAATGAATTTGAAAACATTGTAGAAAATTCAAAACAGAAGAACCCAACATTACAAAACGATCCAAAAGCATGTATTTTCATTTGTGTGAACTAAATGAACGGACCCTTCGAAATAAATGCATTCGAAAAGTACTCAGCGTTCATCCCTCTATAAAAAAAATCAACAACAATTTAAGAAAAATAATTTAAGAGCACAATAATTTAAGAAAAAAATAAATGAAGAAAAAACTCTTAAAAAAACTTGGATTATAAAAGTGAAAAGTAAGTTTTTTTTAATCTAAATTTACATTCATTTTTATAGTAAAAGGTGACTGAATCAAATAAAAAAAACTAAAATTTAGTTTTCATAACTAAGAAAAGATTGAACTTGTAGGACTAAATGAATTGGGCTGCCTATGTTTCGTATAGATTAAATCAATTTTGGCTAAATTAGTCTGAAAACGAAAGTTTTCAGACGTTTTTTTTCGACAAAGAGAGAATTTTTTCAACTTTCTTTTCAGAATCCAAATCACGACCGAAAAGCTTTATATGATACCACGCTTGACCTCCTACGAGCTTTCCTTAAGGCAGTCAGAATTGGCTGGAAAAAAAATTAACTTGAACTCAAAATTTGTTTCCACTCTTCGGGTGGTCGGAACAAAACCACTATTAATGAATGCGCAGTCGTAAAAAAAGACCGTTGAATGAAAATAATACGACGCGCCTGTACTGAATTCATATGGCATCACGTGCTGAAATCTGTGAATAATGCTTTTTTTAGGGTTAAAAGTCTGGTACCCGGTTGCAAAACATATGCTATCTCAAGTGCAATCAACCGAAAACGACTTCAGACACATCAACAATTTGGAGCATACCGTTCAAAGATTCGCCCAGATACAAGCAGTCGTGTTGCGTTAACTATACAAAGAACTATTAAAATAACAAGTTTAAGTAAGTATTGAGAGAACGCGTAAGTATTTGAACAGATAAGCATGTGAAAAAAACAATCAGATTAAAATTAAAAGTTCAACAAATCCATTAGCTTGTTTTGTCGCCCTTTTAATAAATTTTTGACCGTATGAACCTACATGTGACATTCCTATATCCTATTCTGATCACCAAAAATACGCAAAATCATTCTTCTAAAATTAGTAGGGAAATTACAATCGGTAAAATTTCCATTTAATATTAAATTTGCAAAAAAAGAAAAATAAAAAAATTCTATTAAACTGAAAAAAGAACAACTAACTTTAAAATGTTCCAAGCTTGGCACATTTTCGTCTCCCTGTAAGTCAAAAGATCCCCACTGCTGCTCATTGCGTGTGCGTTTGTCCCTAAGATGTTCCACATTGATGTTTGGATTCAGACTATGCAACAGTGCATTCGTACCTGAAAAAAAATAAAACCTTTATTTTTAAGATAACAGAGGTTCGTTTTAAAATAATAAAAACTGGACCTGAAGCGGTTCAAGAAGCAAGGAATGTTTTTGTTTTTTTAACATTTATCGCCCCGGATAATCAGGAAAAAAAACGAAAATGAAAAATATGTATTTATATTTTTAAAAACTTTAAAACAATTTTGGAGAGGGCCTCTGAAAAAATGTTATCCAGAGCTCTTAAGTATCCTAATTGCTCACCTATCTAGCGATTTGCTTGTAACATTTGAAAATTCAACCGAAGTAACTTTCCGTTTGTTGAGGAGGCCGCTATAATAATTAGTTTCCAAACTATCAATCTACAAATTAGCTAACCTGTTTCATTTCAACTTATTACAAAAGTTAAAATAAGCACATCGCTGTTAAGAAAAGTATTGACCATTTTCAGGTATCTAAAAAAGAAAATACTTTAACTTTCAATTAATTTAATTGATTCCTACAACTTTGACAACATTACTCGAATTGCGTCTTTTCTGTTATACGCCCGCCCAACACTGATCCTTTTGCTATATTGAAAGTTATAGTCGATTTCAATTTTGAAAGCTCGAAATTGATTGGTTGAAATTAATATCAGCTAAAAGAAATCTGTGTTTTCAATCACAGCAGAAGCTCAATAAACACTTTGATAACTTCGGGCCATGTAACAGAAAAGATCGTTTGAATATAATGCACATTAGCTTTTCATCCAAACTCCAAGTGGACATCATTGGCAGTAGTACCTTGGGTTGTGCTCTTGACTTTTTTGACAAATTCCATCATCTGATTGAACTGTTTGTTCGTGTACATTCTGTAGTAATGTTCCTTCATCAGGATTTCCTCGTCTGAGATCTTGAACGACTCAATTTCTTTGTGCTTCTCCTTAAACGCAATTAGCTTCAAACTAGTTTCAATTAGTTTCAAAAAAATCCGACTAACTTATTGTGGGAAACATTTGGTCTATTTAAAGTTTCATTGTTTCCGACCCTATGCATTTGAGAGCTCGTTATAGAAAACTAAACAAAAAACTAAACAAAAATAAAAAAATTACGTTTGCAACCGAATAAACGTAACATTTTTCTAAATTTAACAATTCGGCTGATTATTTTGCTTCTTTCCAGGATCGTCGACGAACTTCATGATATTAAATGAAATTGCATGGTATTACGTCATCCTTAAGAGCATGAAATTACTTAAGTAGCTTACCGACAGTTCCTCAGAGACAGTCTGCAGTTCCCTCTCTTTAGCCACAATCTCTGCCAGAACACTCTGCTCCCTCTCAACTACAAAAAAAACAGGGCAGTTGAGTTGAAGACACTCAGTAAAAGATAACTGTGGTCGAAACCTGAGCTACTAGCATGGCAACCAGTAATTATTAATATTTGCTCAAGTGATTTCAATCATCCAAGAATCGTGAATATCACTCAGCTCTATCATCAAGCTGAGTATCTCGTAGCTGTGCAAGTACCAAAGTACCGACCATAATCGTTCCGAAAAAGCTCCAAACAACAGGTTTTTTTATGCGCAGCATGGGAGATGAAATAAAATTTTTTGAACGACAAGGATGACTTCAATTGAGCACCAGTTTTTTTGCAGACTGAGAAACAAAGACGAAAACGAGTTTTTTTCATGCTTTCCAGATTCATCAGACATATTTTTTATATTCTTTTTAAATTCAAACAATCACAGGTAAAAAAATTCTTTTTGAATTTGAATTTCGAATATTAATATCTGTCAGATGGACTTAAAAATGCAGAAGCATGTGTTAATATCCCCAAAACTGATCGAGATTAAGCGCTGGATTATATGCATATGCAGTAACAAACCTTAACACAACCATTCAACACAAAAAGTGGCGACCGAATTTGGAAAAAAGTAAGCACGTAATATAACATTCAATTTATTGAGTAAATATTGCGTCTCAGCGCTGAAAACAGAAATTTGTAGCTATGATGGAAAAGAATGTAAGCAAGTTTAGGATTAAAACAGCTTGACGCTGAAATAGCAGCAAAGATGACTTCGAACTAAGAAAAAATGAAAAAGGAACAATAGAAACAAAAGTTTTAAAAAGAGCATTCGATCATATGATCTTACCGATCTTAAAATGAAAGCTAAAATTTGTAAGAAAAAAAAATTATGTGCAAAAAAACTAAAGACGACAACCAATGAGCTTAAAATCAACCGAAGTGAATGCAAGGTTCTTTACCCAATTCGGAAACTAAACTGACAAGGTTTAAGTCGAAAACCATATAACAGAAACGTACCATGCAAAACCAACATAGCACAAAAACTAGTAGAAAAAATTGAGACGAAACACCGTCCGCTGAGTCAAAATTTATTTAAATGTGATAGCGTCGAGAAAAACTAGATCCACCTTCATGAATTTTCCCGGGAAAAATGCTTAGAGCAAAACGAGCCACATTTCCGCAAAAATGCACTCAATTACATTTACTTACGGCATTTGGAAAATTAAAAGAAAGCTGCATATTCAAAAAGTCCGTCCAACGAGAACCAAGCCGAAAAAAAATAAATTAATGGAAGATAGGCCGAAAAAGCAGAAATTTTCTAGTTTGAACAAAAAACACCCCCGGCCGGATTCGAACCACAAGCTTTTGTAGACTCAAGCATATGGGTTAACTCTACGCCAGATGCTCAGGATAGTTGATTAAATTTGATTTTCCTAACATAGCCAACGGACCATAGAAAACATCATGAACGCAAGGAAAAAAAACAGACTTGTTTCTTGAAAAAAACTTCATCTATCGGATTTCAAATTTAATAAAACTATTGCCTTGTAGCCCTTTTCGAACAATTTCTAGAACAATTCCGGTTTGATACTTTTCTGATAAAATGAGCCCGATTCGAGAAAACTGGATCAATAGCAAAAGTTTTCATCCCGGTGGGAAATCTGAAAAAAAAATCTCACTTTTGAAATTAGAAATCGATCAGGTTTTTCATGACATTTACAATTTTGCTGTCGGATTGTGGAGTTTCCCTTCATTTTGAAAAAGAAATGAACTAAACTTAAATAGAAATCAAAGCTTAAAATGAAAGCTAAAATTTGTAGGAAAAAAAAATTATGTGCAAAAAAACTAAAGACGACAACCAATGAGCTTAAAATCAACCGAGGTGAATGCAAGGTTCTTTACCCAATTCGGAAACTAAACTGACAAGGTTTAAGTCGAAAACCATATAACAGAAACGTACCATGCAAAACCAACATAGCATAAAAACTAGTAGAAAAAATTGAGACGAAACACCGTCCGCTGAGTCAAAATTTATTTAAATGTGATAGCGTCGAGAAAAACTAGATCCACCTTCATGAATTTTCCCGGGAAAAATGCTTAGAGCAAAACGAGCCACATTTCCGCAAAAATGTACTCAATTACATTTACTTACGGCATTTGGAAAATTAAAAGAAAGCTGCATATTCAAAAAGTCCGTGCAACGAGAACCAAGCCGAAAAAAAATAAATTAATGAAGATAGGCCGAAAAAGCAGAAATTTTCTAGTTTGAACAAAAAACACCCCCGGCCGGATTCGAACCACAAGCTTTTGTAGACTCAAGCATATGGGTTAACTCTACGCCAGATGCTCAGGATAGTTGATTAAATTTGATTTTCCTAACATAGCCAACGGACCATAGAAAACATCATGAACGCAAGGAAAAAAAACAGACTTGTTTCTTGAAAAAAACTTCATCTATCGGATTTCAAATTTAATAAAACTATTGCCTTGTAGCCCTTTTCGAACAATTTCTAGAACAATTCCGGTTTGATACTTTTCTGATAAAATGAGCCCGATCCGAGAAAACTGGATCAATAGCAAAAGTTTTCATCCCGGTGGGAAATCTGAAAAAAAAATCTCACTTTTGAAATTAGAAATCGATCAGGTTTTTCATGACATTTACAATTTTGCTGTTGGATTGTGGAGTTCCCCTTCATTTTAAAATAGAAATGAACTAAACTTAAATAGAAATCAAAGCTTAAAATGAAAGCTAAAATTTGTAGGAAAAAAAAATTATGTGCAAAAAAACTAAAGACGACAACCAATGAGCTTAAAATCAACCGAAGTGAATGCAAGGTTCTTTACCCAATTCGGAAACTAAACTGACAAGGTTTAAGTCGAAAACCATATAACAGAAACGTACCATGCAAAACCAACATAGCACAAAAACTAGTAGAAAAAATTGAGACGAAACACCGTCCGCTGAGTCAAAATTTATTTAAATGTGATAGCGTCGAGAAAAACTAGATCCACCTTCATGAATTTTCCCGGGAAAATGCTTAGAGCAAAACGAGCCACATTTCCGCAAAAATGTACTCAATTACATTTACTTACGGCATTTGGAAAATTAAAAGAAAGCTGCATATTCAAAAAGTCCGTGCAACGAGAACCAAGCCGAAAAAAAATAAATTAATGGAAGATAGGCCGAAAAAGCAGAAATTTTCTAGTTTGAACAAAAAACACCCCCGGCCGGATTCGAACCACAAGCTTTTGTAGACTCAAGCATATGGGTTAACTCTACGCCAGATGCTCAGGATAGTTGATTAAATTTGATTTTCCTAACATAGCCAACGGACCATAGAAAACATCATGAACGCAAGGAAAAAAAACAGACTTGTTTCTTGAAAAAAACTTCATCTATCGGATTTCAAATTTAATAAAACGATTGCCTTGTAGCCCTTTTCGAACAATTTCTAGAACAATTCCGGTTTGATACTTTTCTGATAAAATGAGCCCGATTCGAGAAAACTGGATCAATAGCAAAAGTTTTCATCCCGGTGGGAAATCTGAAAAAAAAATCTCACTTTTGAAATTAAAAATCGATCAGGTTTTTCATGACATTTACAATTTTGCTGTTGGATTGTGGAGTTTCCCTTCAATTTAAAATAGAAATGAACTAAACTTAAATAGAAATCAAAGCTTAAAATGAAAGCTAAAATTTGTAGGAAAAAAAAATTAAGTGCAAAAAAACTAAAGACGACAACCAATGAGTTTAAAATCAACCAAAGTGAATGCAAGGTTCTTTACCCAATTCGGAAACTAAACTGACAAGGTTTAAGTCGAAAACCATATAACAGAAACGTACCATGCAAAACCAACATAGCACAAAAACTAGTAGAAAAAATTGAGACGAAACACCGTCCGCTGAGTCAAAATTTATTTAAATGTGATAGCGTCGAGAAAAACTAGATCCACCTTCATGAATTTTCCCGGGAAAAATGCTTAGAGCAAAACGAGCCACATTTCCGCAAAAATGTACTCAATTACATTTACTTACGGCATTTGGAAAATTAAAAGAAAGCTGCATATTCAAAAAGTCCGTGCAACGAGAACCAAGCCGAAAAAAAATAAATTAATGGAAGATAGGCCGAAAAAGCAGAAATTTTCTAGTTTGAACAAAAAACACCCCCGGCCGGATTCGAACCACAAGCTTTTGTAGACTCAAGCATATGGGTTAACTCTACGCCAGATGCTCAGGATAGTTGATTAAATTTGATTTTCCTAACATAGCCAACGGACCATAGAAAACATCATGAACGCAAGGAAAAAAAACAGACTTGTTTCTTGAAAAAAACTTCATCTATCGGATTTCAAATTTAATAAAACTATTGCCTTGTAGCCCTTTTCGAACAATTTCTAGACAAATTCCGGTTTGATACTTTTCTGATAAAATGAGCCCGATTCGAAAAAACTGGATCAATAGCAAAAGTTTTCATCCCGGTGGGAAATCTGAAAAAAAATCTCACTTTTGAAATTAGAAATCGATCAGGTTTTTCATGACATTTACAATTTTGCTGTTGGATTGTGGAGTTCCCCTTCATTTTAAAATAGAAATGAACTAAACTTAAATAGAAATCAAAGCTTAAAATGAAAGCTAAAATTTGTAGGAAAAAAAAATTATGTGCAAAAAAACTAAAGACGACAACCAATGAGCTTAAAATCAACCGAAGTGAATGCAAGGTTCTTTACCCAATTCGGAAACTAAACTGACAAGGTTTAAGTCGAAAACCATATAACAGAAACGTACCATGCAAAACCAACATAGCACAAAAACTAGTAGAAAAAATTGAGACGAAACACCGTCCGCTGAGTCAAAATTTATTTAAATGTGATAGCGTCGAGAAAAACTAGATCCACCTTCATGAATTTTCCCGGGAAAAATGCTTAGAGCAAAACGAGCCACATTTCCGCAAAAATGTACTCAATTACATTTACTTACGGCATTTGGAAAATTAAAAGAAAGCTGCATATTCAAAAAGTCCGTGCAACGAGAACCAAGCCGAAAAAAAATAAGTTAATGGAAGATAGGCCGAAAAAGCAGAAATTTTCTAGTTTGAACAAAAAACACCCCCGGCCGGATTCGAACCACAAGCTTTTGTAGACTCAAGCATATGGGTTAACTCTACGCCAGATGCTCAGGATAGTTGATTAAATTTGATTTTCCTAACATAGCCAACGGACCATAGAAAACATCATGAACGCAAGGAAAAAAAACAGACTTGTTTCTTGAAAAAAACTTCATCTATCGGATTTCAAATTTAATAAAACGATTGCCTTGTAGCCCTTTTCGAACAATTTCTAGAACAATTCCGGTTTGATTTTTTTCTGATAAAATGAGCCCGATTCGAGAAAACTGGATCAATAGCAAAAGTTTTCATCCCGGTGGGAAATCTGAAAAAAAAATCTCACTTTTGAAATTAAAAATCGATCAGGTTTTTCATGACATTTACAATTTTGCTGTTGGATTGTGGAGTTTCCCTTCAATTTAAAATAGAAATGAACTAAACTTAAATAGAAATCAAAGCTTAAAATGAAAGCTAAAATTTGTAGGAAAAAAAAATTAAGTGCAAAAAAACTAAAGACGACAACCAATGAGTTTAAAATCAACCAAAGTGAATGCAAGGTTCTTTACCCAATTCGGAAACTAAACTGACAAGGTTTAAGTCGAAAACCATATAACAGAAACGTACCATGCAAAACCAACATAGCACAAAAACTAGTAGAAAAAATTGAGACGAAACACCGTCCGCTGAGTCAAAATTTATTTAAATGTGATAGCGTCGAGAAAAACTAGATCCACCTTCATGAATTTTCCCGGGAAAAATGCTTAGAGCAAAACGAGCCACATTTCCGCAAAAATGTACTCAATTACATTTACTTACGGCATTTGGAAAATTAAAAGAAAGCTGCATATTCAAAAAGTCCGTGCAACGAGAACCAAGCCGAAAAAAAATAAATTAATGGAAGATAGGCCGAAAAAGCAGAAATTTTCTAGTTTGAACAAAAAACACCCCCGGCCGGATTCGAACCACAAGCTTTTGTAGACTCAAGCATATGGGTTAACTCTACGCCAGATGCTCAGGATAGTTGATTAAATTTGATTTTCCTAACATAGCCAACGGACCATAGAAAACATCATGAACGCAAGGAAAAAAAACAGACTTGTTTCTTGAAAAAAACTTCATCTATCGGATTTCAAATTTAATAAAACTATTGCCTTGTAGCCCTTTTCGAACAATTTCTAGACAAATTCCGGTTTGATACTTTTCTGATAAAATGAGCCCGATTCGAAAAAACTGGATCAATAGCAAAAGTTTTCATCCCGGTGGGAAATCTGAAAAAAAATCTCACTTTTGAAATTAGAAATCGATCAGGTTTTTCATGACATTTACAATTTTGCTGTTGGATTGTGGAGTTTCCCTTCATTTTAAAAAAGAAATGAACTAAACTTAAATAGAAATCAAAGCTTAAAATGAAAGCTAAAATTTGTAGGAAAAAAAATTATGTGCAAAAAAACTAAAGACGACAACCAATGAGCTTAAAATCAACCGAAGTGAATGCAAGGTTCTTTACCCAATTCGCAAACTAAACTGACAAGGTTTAAGTCGAAAACCATATAACAGAAACGTACCATGCAAAACCAACATAGCACAAAAACTAGTAGAAAAAATTGAGACGAAACAACGTCCGCTGAGTCAAAATTTATTTAAATGTGATAGCGTCGAGAAAAACTAGATCCACCTTCATGAATTTTCCCGGGAAAAATGCTTAGAGCAAAACGAGCCACATTTCCGCAAAAATGTACTCAATTACATTTACTTACGGCATTTGGAAAATTAAAAGAAAGCTGCATATTCAAAAAGTCCGTGCAACGAGAACCAAGCCGAAAAAAAATAAATTAATGGAAGATAGGCCGAAAAAGCAGAAATTTTCTAGTTTGAACAAAAAACACCCCCGGCCGGATTCGAACCACAAGCTTTTGTAGACTCAAGCATATGGGTTAACTCTACGCCAGATGCTCAGGATAGTTGATTAAATTTGATTTTCCTAACATAGCCAACGGACCATAGAAAACATCATGAACGCAAGGAAAAAAAACAGACTTGTTTCTTGAAAAAAACTTCATCTATCGGATTTCAAATTTAATAAAACTATTGCCTTAAAGCCCTTTTCGAACAATTTCTAGACCAATTCCGGTTTGATACTTTTCTGATAAAATGAGCCCGATTCGAGAAAACTGGATCAATAGCAAAAGTTTTCATCCCGGTGGGAAATCTGAAAAAAAAATCTCACTTTTGAAATTAGAAATCGATCAGGTTTTTCATGACATTTACAATTTTGCTGTTGTATTGTGGAGTTTCCCTTCATTTTAAAAAAGAAATGAACTAAACTTAAATAGAAATCAAAGCTTAAAATGAAAGCTAAAATTTGTAGGAAAAAAAATTATGTGCAAAAAAACTAAAGACGACAACCAATGAGCTTAAAATCAACCGAAGTGAATGCAGGGTTCTTTACCCAATTCGGAAACTAAACTGACAAGGTTTAAGTCGAAAACCATATAACAGAAACGTACCATGCAAAACCAACATAGCACAAAAACTAGTAGAAAAAATTGAGACGAAACACCGTCCGCTGAGTCAAAATTTATTTAAATGTGATAGCGTCGAGAAAAACTAGATCCACCTTCATGAATTTTCCCGGGAAAAATGCTTAGAGCAAAACGAGCCACATTTCCGCAAAAATGTACTCAATTACATTTACTTACGGCATTTGGAAAACTAAAAGAAAGCTGCATATTCAAAAAGTTTGTGCAACGAGAACCAAGCCGAAAAAAAATAAATTAATGGAAGATAGGCCGAAAAAGCAGAAATTTTCTAGTTTGAACAAAAAACACCCCCGGCCGGATTCGAACCACAAGCTTTTGTAGACTCAAGCATATGGGTTAACTCTACGCCAGATGCTCAGGATAGTTGATTAAATTTGATTTTCCTAACATAGCCAACGGACCATAGAAAACATCATGAACGCAAGGAAAAAAAACAGACTTGTTTCTTGAAAAAAACTTCATCTATCGGATTTCAAATTTAATAAAACTATTGCCTTTTAGCCTTTTTCGAACAATTTCTAGACCAATTCCGGTTTGATACTTTTCTGATAAAATGAGCCCGATTCGAGAAAACTGATTCAATAGCAAAATTTTTCATCCCGGTGGGAAATCTGAAAAAAAATCTCACTTTTGAAATTAGAAATCGATCAGGTTTTTCATGACATTTACAATTTTGCTGTTGGGTTGTGGAGTTTCCCTTCATTTTAAAAAAGAAATGAACTAAACTTAAATAGAAATCAAAACTAGAAAAAGCAATTTTTAGCGTGAACAAATTTTAAGACAGGTCCTGAAAAAAAAATCACTTAGAACTAGATAAGAGTATTCACTATGTTCCTGACCTTAAAAAAGTAAGTTGAAATAAATTTAACAATTTCGCGCGCAAAATCTTGTGAACAAAGTTGCTAATGTGAAAAAAGTCTAATGCCCGGTAGCAACACCCTTGCTTATCGCAGGGGTAAATAATTGAATTGTAATACATGCGTTTGCTTTTGTAGTCCAAGGCATATTTAATTGTCCATTCTTCTAAACCTCAAATTCCTTTTGAACTATAAAAGAAATTAATTTAAAAAATTATAGCCAACTGACAGTTGGAAAAGAGTAATGAACGCAAATAAACAACAAAAAATACTGACTTTGTTAAAAAATCTGAATTTTCGAATTTCAAAATATATGCCCATAAAACTCTTTGAACTTCAAGAACAATTTATGATTGGTGCTTGTTTGATTTAACTAACTCAATTAGAGAAAACTGGATCAATAGATAAAAATTTTATTCCGCTGGAAATCTAAAACGTAAACTCCACTTTCGAAACTTGAAATCGTTCAAGTTTTTTCGCGCCAAATCCACATTCGTATTTGGAGAGGGCTATTTATGTACCTCTCAGCAGATGAATTTCAGTTGAACTCAAAAAGCGCATATATACCTAAGTGCATTCATAAATGGATGAATATGTACGAATGCACATCTGTAGTTATTAGGACTTTTTTCTGAAATAAAAAACAAAACAAAATCACCAAGACCTATATAAGAGTCTTCACTACGTTCATTACTCTTAATTAATAGGTAGATGGAAACTTTCAGCAAAAGACAACTCGCTAGAAAGACAAAATGAAATCACTATTTAAATGATCACACAGGCATAGTTGCAAAACGTCGCTAGAACATTAATTGATGACTTCAGTTCTATTCGCATGGTCCTACCGTTTTCGGGAAGGATAGCTAAATGGGGAAAGTCTTCAATATTAACTCAGCAAGCTCAATTTTCCAACAACAGCGCAAGAAAAATTGTTTTTCCGCTTATCAAAAACTCAGCTTGCCTAGAGAAAAGCTCATTTTCGATTCGTATCTGCCGTTTTGTCGTGCATATTAATTTCGTTAAACATTTGACAACCAGTCTCAAAATAGCATGACAGGCTATATAGTGATAAATGGATGAAATGCTTCTTCTCGCAGCGCTTATTTTCGATCAAAGTTACCGTTTTATATTTAAGAATTTTTCCTTCAGACCACTTTTCGGTTCCCAAAAAAGTTCTTAACACATTTCTTTTGTGAAACATTGAAGACATCATTACCTGGGCTTGAATCAGAATAACTTAACCACGGATAACTTTCCAGAACTTCTTTTAACTATATTGAATAAACTATATTAAGTTAAAAAACAGACAAACGGACAGATTGACTAGCGCTTTTTAACATCTTTTTATATACACAGCGTGAGCAGCGATTTAATGCGGACTCAAGATCATGCCAAACTCAAGCAAATAAATTGGTCTAACTTATTCGAAGATCAAGTAACACACACAATAATCGGAATAAGTAGACTTTTATATCATATTAAAGCCCTTTTTCCAAATGTCGAGAAAATCCGGTTTGATTTTTGGTCGCAACCTTTGGAATAAAATTGAAGAAAATATATGCAAAGAATTTATATCCAAATGCTTAGCTTGATGGCAAGAATGAAGAAACATTTCAACTGTGAGCCTAAAGTTATAGCAGCGCATCCCAACATTTTGATTCGAAGCAGCAGAAGCAAAGCAGCATGGAGTCTCATAAGTAACGAATGATTCCAGAAAACAAACGAAAAATTGACGAGATTATCACACGCTATTTTTTGTCATCCAACACGCCATTTTGAGACGTGGAGAACCAGGAGTTTCAAAATAGGATTTTAGCTCTCCATTTATGTTATTCGCCTCCAAATCGAACCCGAAATGGGGGAAACTTCTTTGATTATGATTATTCCAATCTGACTAAGAAAAATTGCTTTTAGACATTGTTGCGTACACACATGTTAAGGACGCTAAAACTTTGCTAAACATTCCAAAAGCTCTGAATGTCATGCAATCGAACAAGAGCACAGTTGATCATACAATTTTTTCGTGAAAAAAAAACATCTCGATCGACTTCGTGAACAAGTAACGAACGACGCGAATGACTCGAAAATGACGAGAGACGGTTTGCTGCGTATTTATTGTGTGCCGGTTGTTTCGTAGTAAATAATATTAAAACTGAAATGAAAAGAGCAACCAAATGGATAAAAGTGTAGCAGCCAGACTGCATCAGCGCAATAGCAATACATCGGGGAAGAACTTTCCAGGTTCAAAACTGAGTTTCAAGAGCACTCTATTAAGCAAAGTGAACTTTCTCAAGTTCCATATTTAAATTGAAAATATTTCTTGGGAAGTAGCAATAAATATGCTGAAGCTCTCACCCAATTCAGCAGCTTGAAATCCCTTGATTGCATGATTTTGTTAATGTTTTATGTTTAAAACCTGTTTGAAACGCTTAGATCGTTTAAAAAGTTTCTTTTCAATCAAAATTTGTTCTGAAATTTTTTCATCAATTTTGTTTGTTATTTATTTATAGGAGACGAATGATGTCGGTTATGTCTGTCTAATTCAATAACATTCTCTGCATTCGTATAGTTCTCTCATCACACCACGCACTAAACAACGACCCTTTCAGGAAACAAATATTATTTTTTTTATGAATGTGGTTGAAAAATTCTGCGATACTTGCCGACTATCCATGTAACCGGCTATCCAAAATATACTTGAAATTTTTCATGTTTGTAAATCTTTTTCATTGAAAGCAAAAGTTTTTGAGGCGATGAAAATGTTCAGTGCTTCGCCCTTTCCTGATACAGAAGTTAGTAGTTTTTGAAGGGGAAAATGTTTTCAATTATCTTTGCCTGCGCTTCTTAACAGCTATTAGATGTCGCATTTCACTACTGCTCAGCGACCGGATTGTGGAGTGTCGTTCAATTATAAATGAGAAATTAATTAAGTCATTAAAAACAACCTCCCGCAACACTTTCCCGTTATTCTTTTTCGCATCGAGGTCTCAAGATGCACTTTAATCAAACTCCATTATAACAGCCTTACGTTAGGCAGTGTGAAAGTTTTCACTGTTTAATGTTGATTTTGCTTATTTATACAGTAACAGCACAGCTGCCCCGAACGAATCTTTGGCTGAATAAAATTTATATGCTGGACTATAAGAGTAACACGGCTGTCTCGGCTCCACATTCATAACTCGTTCATCACTCATTCATTACTCATTCATACCAATGGCTCTGAAGTGGCGAATACATTGCACTGCCTTTATTTTCTCCTTCACCCCAGAGTGCAGAGTGAGTCCCTTAGTCTCGTCCAGCTGGAAGTTCTCACTTTGAAGGATTGCGTTCAGACTCTCCACACAGTTATCGAATTGGTTCAGAGTCTAAAAACACTATAGTATAGTGTTCAAGAATTACAAAGCTATTGGAAAAACAAACAAAACAATCTTTTTTCAGCTACTCATTTCTTCAAGCTGCAGTTAACTCAAAATAATTTATGCTTGAAAAAATCTAGGGTTTTGGCAAAATTGCGGTCGATTCGGGCATTAAATTAAGAGAAGCTTTTGAATAATAAGTCGCATCATTTAATTGCGCGTTTTTAGATAAAAGGTTTCAGTTGTGCACTCTTTTATATCCAATTCACACTGACACCAAGAAAGCCATAGAAGATTCTAGAAATTTATCACCGGAGATTCTAGAAATTGACCGATCTAGAGTACTCTAGAACAGTTGATGACGATAGTGCTACCAAATGAGACAGACTCACCGGAAGACACTGGACATTAGCGAGGAACATGTGGATGAACCCTTTCGCCCTCTCCTTGCAGTTCTCCAGGGCCACCCAAGCTACAAACTGACCATCTGCGTGGTAGTAGTGCTTGTGCAGAATGGCAGCCATGTGCAGTAGAGAGATTGCTACAGAGTGGGTCACAATTGAGCTATTTCATCTACTTAAAGCTTTGAACCAATCGCATAATTAGGCTCATTAATTATTTAAACATCGATCCCTCACCCCCTTAAAATTTAACATACTCATTGAGAAACAAAACGCGCTGATCTCAGATTCTGATTGGTTGAAAAAATGGCTTCTAAGTGGTTTTCGATTATCTAGCGTGCAAGGATACAAGAAGAGTTTAAATTAGGCATTCATTCACATGAGGCATTCACTGTTCATTTGCAACACCATGTATAAATAGCTCAATTAGTGCCTAGAGCGTCGTCTGGGGATAGATCTATGGCATGACTGACACACTTGAGGGCCTCTTGGGAGTTGCCCTTGATGCGCCAGAACAGGGTAGCCAGGTTGTATGTCACCCATGACTCCGAATTCTGTAAAGCAAGAAAATCGTAAAGCAAGAAACAACCTAAAAGCGGATAAAATCTGTTTAAAAGTGAGCAAAAAGGTAATTTAAAAAATAGATTCTTGATTACTGCAAATTGATGCCCTAACTCCTTGAGGTATTTTCACTGTTTTCAGGCCTGAAATTAAACGAGCCTAACTTAAAGGGCCATATACAAGAAAAGACCAGTTGAATTTTAATCTTCTACTGAGATGGTATTTTAAGGTGAAAGGGTTAATGTAACAACTTTAAAAGTCGAAAATTGAGCCAAAAATACTTCTATCGTTTCATCATTAGTCAAACAGCAAAAAAAAACACTCCGAATGGGTTTTTATTATAGATAGTTTCGATGGTAATGTCCAAAAAAAACAAACAGCTATGCAGTGCTTCATTGCGAGTGAGACTCGGTTTAAAAAATTTATGCAACAACCAATTACCAATGAAAATGGCTTCAAAATTGCTTGACAAAAGCCGACGACTCGGAAAATTTTTATCTATAGAACAGTTTTTGAAGTAGATTAAGAGTCTCGATGTCCGAATTGAGAAACAAAACCAAAGAAAGTATATGTATTGCGTACAGCGACAGCACCCAGTTATACGAGATAGAGACGAAAACCAATTTTAGCTTCCAGTCCGAAAGTCTGAGCTCCTTGCTATTGCCTTGTAAGTTACGCTGAGTGTTTCTTTGGAGCAACCCCAAGTAGTGCCGGCAAGTTCTTTTGAGTACATTATTCCTTTTTTGTAGTTTGTCACAGGTCTTAGTGCAGTGTTCGTTAAAATTCAATTGGTTGTCAAACGTTGCTCCAAGAATTTTGGGGTTGCGAGTGGTTGGCAGTTAGTTCCGTCAACCATTACTTTGGGTTCTAAATTAAATTCATTCGTCTATGCTGAAAAAATTGATGTTGTGTACTTATCTTTTGATAATAAAAGACTTCTGCCTGTTAGCCAGGTGTTGAGGCTGTTAAGGTACAGATTCATCAATCCATCTTCATTCGTCCATGTTGAAAAAATTGATGTTGTCTCATCTTTTGATAATGAAGGATTTATGACTGTTAGCCAGGTTTTGAGGCTGTTAAGATAAGGATTCATGTTGTCTGCTAAAGTTTCAATATTGGGCCCTGGTGTTGTAGGGTTATGTAATCTGCATAAGTAGTCACTTTGATGTTATCATTCTCTCATTCTCTGGTAGAGGCATTTTTGACAGATAGATATTAAATAGGACCAGAGATAGCACACCACCTTGTGGGACACCCTGTTTCACCTTCCTGCGTTTGGATTTAGTGTCTCTGAATTCTACATATGTACGTCTACCCCGTAGGTAGGCAAGAATCCATCTTTTGGTGTTATTAGAAAGATTCGAGTTGGCAATGTCGTTGAACAGATGGTGGTGGTCAACAGTATCAAAGGCTGCAGTCAAGTCGAGGGCGACCATTAATCTTCTTTGACGTAGTTTGGCCTGGTTCAAACCAGCTTTTATGTAAATTGAGATACAATTGAGGGCAGTAGTTGTCTATTTTTCTTTTCTCAACCCGTGTTGGTGTTCCTGAAAATATACATTAAAAATGAATTCGGGTAAAAGTAAACGTTCTATGAGTTTTGCCACAGGAGAGAGCAGTGCAATTGGTCGGTAGCTCTTAGCTTGTTCGGGATCTTTACCGGGCTTAGCCAGGGGTATTACTCTTCTCACTTTCCAGTTTTCGGGTATTGTTGCATTACTCATTGAGAGGTTTATCAACTTACTGAGGTATTTGATGGCTGGTTTTCCAATGAGATGTAAATGGATTGGAGCGATGTTATCACGTCCTAGCGCTTTGCTTTTCTTACTGGACTTTATTGCATCTTCTACCATTTTAGTTGAAATTTTTACTTCTTTTAATTCTAATTGTTTGATTTTGCGAACAATTGCCCCTTTTTTCCTTTTTGTTTTTGTTTGGGTGTGGAGTGAACTGTTGGTTGATTTTGTTGCAAATTTTTTGTGTGTTGTGAATGGGCTTTTTTCAAAAATAGGCGTGTTTCTTGGGATTTTGGCATTTGTATTCGACAGACCTTTAACTGTAGACCAGAGTTTACTTGTTGCCCCTCGATGATCAACGTTGTCAAGAAACTCAATCCATTTGTTCTTTTATTATCTTCAACTATTTTATTGATTTTTTTTTTAGTTCACTAATTTTGGGGTCTCCGGGATGTGTTTGTTTAAGATTATCCCTTATTTTTAAGAGTTTAAAAGCTTCAGTTGGAAAATTCAGCATCACCTCTTTTATGCATCCTTGAGGTATATGTCTAGATGCCGCGCCGCATATTATTTTCCTGAAAAAAATTTCACTTTCATTAGTTGATTTGGGTCGAACTAATTTTCGAAACGCTTTTTCGCTTTCAGTACGGAAGCTTTCCAGTCAGCTTTTTTGAAGTTAATGTATGTTTTCTTAGTTGCCTTAATGATTTGAATTTCGCAGGTTATTTCTAGGGTGATGGCTGAATGATCTGATCCCAGTAGGTTTTCACAGTACCAATTAGTGGACATGGCCAGGCTCTTAGACATCAGAACAATATCTAAGCAACGTTTCGATGTGATATTGGGCAATTATAGGTCAATTTCAGAGCCTTTTCGGACAAATTACAAGCCGACACCACGAACTTTTCACGCAATGCGGTAATAAGCAAGGTTGTCAAATTCTATGTTATTTTCGAAAAAAACTAAGTTATTTATTAAAAAAATATTCATGTTATTTATGCTAAACTGTTAAATAATTCAACACATTAAAAAGCATTAAATTTCTTGCAGAGAAGTGCCAACTTTGCAGATTTCTTCACGCCAAGTTGGGCTCTGAGCTTCCCATACCTGAATTCATCACGTCGAAGAGCTCCAAAAATAAACCAAAAATCCTGAAATGAAAAAATTCAGCACACAAAAAATCATATCATCTCAGGGATTTGAAGATTACCATTTTGGCCATTTTTGGACAATTATCGCGCGATATATTTCGCGCTATTAGCGCGTAAGCGGAGATTTAATCCATTTAAGAAATCATTCCAAATTGGTTGAAGGAAGCTTATTTGCCATAATTGGTTTGTTACAAGGAGCGAAATCTATCCTTTTGTACTTTATATGGTGTGTGGGGAGATGATTTTCAAAAAATCTCAAATTTTAGTTTTTTCTAATTTTATTTTTTTACATGTAATTTTTTCATGTTATTTTTCGCTCCATAGACATTAAGAGGCGGTCGGAAGATTCAGGGCTTCGCCCACATACGAGCAGTCTTGTTTAACATTGTTACTTAAGATTCAATTTAAAGAAGAATGTAATTTTTAATTTCTACCAGACATGTTAGTTGTTTCTTAGAAATGTGGGTATTAGTGCATATTGGCGTTGAAATATATCGCGCGTTAATTGTCCAAAATTAGCCAAAGTGGTAATCTTCAAACCCTAATTTACTTTGCGCAATCCAAAGCAGCAAAGGAAACGCTTGTCGCTGATTCCATTGAGTAGACTTTTGATCTTTCGCATTAAGAGGACTTGAAGCGGAACTCACTGGATAAAAAATTAAACATTGGATCGGAAGCCACAAGCTCTGGTATTTGGACTTAAATAACCACTAAACAATAATAGACATACTTTGATAAATTTTTTGATAGAAGTTCTTTGATAGAAGTTCACAGTCAGTGCAGTCCACGGCTCAATTAATTGCCTATTTCCCATTTTATCCAATTATTTTGAACAAATCAGTCCTCTACATCAGAATTTCTGAGCAGAACTCTATTCTGAAGTTCATTTCCTTCCTTTTTCATCCATCTTTCTTGGTCTGTGTCGGGAATTCATATCTTTTTAAGCACAACAGTTTTGTACTTTCAGTTTTTCGACAACTCTACATAGCAATGGGAAAATGGTAGAAAGGGAATCAGCATAAAGACAGAAACGACACCTGCAAATACTAGACTGTCGCGCAGAATGTGAAAGCATGAAGTTGGGGAAAAACACACTGTCTAAAAACATTACAACCCAAGAAATGTTTTCGTCGCAGATAGACATTCGCAGCGAAAATATTTGGCATCAAAACTCACATGGGAAGATATTTTCAATTCAAGCCACCAGACAGCAGCACGTACAGACAGTAGCAGTAGCCTCCGAGATGGAAGAGCAAGGCATGGTACGGAAAGGAGCAGGCGATAAAAAGAATTTCAGATGACAAATTTCTGACAAGTCGTTCAGGAGGCTGACTCTCTGTGCGAGACATTTAGCTAGACAAAACCTAGCCTGTTGCTAACAAACAGAGCGGGCCGCACTGGTGCCTGAAGCGTGTGAAACGCATTATAAAAAACCTCAAAAAAACATCTACCAAGAGCATCCCATAGCCAGCCATTTCACAATAAAGCGCCACACGCGGCTTCAATTCCAACTCCCAACAATAAAGGGATATAAAAATATTTCAAAATTATTGTGCAAAAAAAATTGATTTTTTTCAAAATTCTTTTGTAGGACTTTTATAGACTTTCATACTGTTATCGATTATGCCTAATTCACTAAATTTGCACGCGTTTGTATAGTTCTCTCATCACACCGCGTACAAAAAGTGATGTGAATGTGAGACACAGAATTTTTTTAAGATTGAGAATGTGGAAGGGGTATTCTGTGCTACTTGCACAGCAGTCGGCTATCCTTGTTCATGAAAATTGTTTCGATCTTCGACCCACGAGTTGACTGACCTGTTGTAGTGATTTTTGTATGATGTGTCCGACTTGGTCCAGAGGCTGGTGACTGAAAATGGCCCTGAGAGAGGGCTCTGGACGCAACACGAAGTCCTTACTCTCTTTCATGCCCTAAACACACAATCACACATCACAAGATGTCTTAAAATTAAAACACTGAGGCGAATCGTAGCTTCGCAACACTTACGATGCAAAAAAAACATTGCTCCACAAAATAGTGAATGAAAAAGAAACAGAATTCAAAAAATTTCTGAAAAATTATGTTGGAAAAAAAACTACTTAAAAAAATAACTTGGTAAAAAGTTGAAAAATTACAGCTGCAAAAATTAGACATTTGTATCAGATTAGGTTGATAAACAGCCCTTAAAGAATGCAAAGCATTGACCCAGCGGCAGCAAAGGCGACAAACTTTGGGTCGAAACCTGTTGAGCCGAAAACAAAACTGTTGTCATAAAAAATTTCTTTTAACTTATAAGTTTTTACGACACATCCAAACTGAAACACATAATCTCAAATGGATATATTTTGCTCTCAAAATTGCCTGAAATAAATTTACTGAGTCCATATGACATAAACTGAAACTGTTTGAATACTTAAAAAAGGAAAAAATGGAAAAAAAAATAACTCAAAATCAGAAATGATTAATTTAAAGTTTAGTGAAGTGTCAGTTACAGTAAAAACTATTTAAATTGGAACAAAAACTATTCTATAGAAGTTATAAATAAAAACCCTGCCAGATAAAAAAAGGCGTTTAAAAACGGAAATTGAACCGACAGAAACTAGCACGAAAACCAAGAGCCCGAAAAAATTAAAATTCTTTTTTGAAAAGATAATAACATTCTGAAACGAGCTTGAACTAATTACTAGCTATGTATAGTACTTTTAGATGAATTTTCAAGAATCTCAAGAAGTGAAGATTCTCTAGAAGTGAAGTTGTGGACAGAGTTGTTTACCGGAAAAAAGTCTAGTACCCGATTACAACGCCCTTGCTTATCGCAAATGTAAAGAGATTACGGTAGATATTTATCTCCAAAAAATTTCAAAATTTCATCGATAATGTACAGTTTCCAAAATGTATACTAAATATCACAATTTTATGGTATTTGAAAAAAAAGATATAAAGAAATGAAATGAGTTGCATTGCAAATCCAAAATCAAATACAGAGGCGAAGCAGAGATTCGCAACAATAAAGATACAAAAATGCATGATTGTGATTTAAAAAAAAATGAAAAAAAAAATAAAAAAGAATCAAAAGAAAAAAAAGAAAAAAATGAAAAAAAAACCTTCAAAACATCGTTTTTTGTCCATAAAAATTATTTAAAAAATTGCAAAAAGACCAAAATATACAGAAAAAAACTAAAACAGTAGAAGCTTAACAAGAGCTTTTAGATTGCTTGAAAGAACTTGCATTTACAAAAAATCTCCTTTCGGCTCAACTAAGCCGATAAAAATAAGCAGTCAGACCATCATCTAAGCTATCAAAAAAATTTCAATAAGTAAAAAAAAACAGGTCTCGACTAAAATCGAACTCCCGGGGTTTATCCTCTCAAGCATGGGCGTTACAGTAACTTCGAAAAAAGCTGAACTTCCAAAAAACGCCAGGCTACGGTAGTTAGGACGACAAGAACAAGCAGACGGCGATGGTCCGAAAAAGCACAAAATTAATATAAAAAAAACAGGTCCTGGTCGGATTTGAACTACAATCCTTTGCCGTCTCAAGCAGTTGTCATACTCTAAGCCAGATGTCCCGGATCATCGATTTAATTTGAATTTATAATAAGCAAGCGGTAACAAAGCCGAAAAAGCCAGAGCAGAAGCACTTCATGTCCAAAAAAACTTCAAAAAATTCTGAACTAAAAAAAAACAAAAGTCCCCCAAAAGCTGAAAACAAGCAGCATGTATTTGTTATTTATCCAAAGCCCATTAAATATTACATTTCAACTTCGCAGCTGGATAATGAATTACTAGAAATGAAATTACCCTTAAGTTTGTGAACTGGTGGATATTGTTCACGTGGGTGAGCTGTCTGTGCTCTCCGCAGTTGGGCGGTTGCGGAGTCAGCGAGGCCTTGTGGTACGTCCCAAGGTGCTCAGAGAGCCTAAAAAGAAGAACAAAACATGTTTACAACACGGAAATCAATTCAGCATCGATTTTTTTGTTCTGGCCACACATTCTGAGTGGGAGTAACTATGGCCTTGGATGTTTTTTATTCAACGCAAAATCAAGTATTTTAATTATCACTCGTAAGGCATCGAGTATGGTATCATTTTCAACCTTTTCGTAATTTTAGTTACGAAAAAAACCATGTTACGAAAAAAAAACATCGAACAACGGAAGAGAGATTGAACTCCTGACCTATTTCTAGTCAAAATTTGACTTAAGTATTCTTACTGCATTTTCGCAAGTTTTAACCTTATTCCATCTTCTCCAACTAACTAAATCAAAAGCAGAAATATGGGAACAAGGAAGTTCATTTTTTAAAATTGCTTCAGCGTTCAACTTCTAGATTCGATAAGCTGATATATAACATTTACAGAGTAATTTGCATTGTAATTAATGTTTGCTGGATAATTGTTTCGCAGCTTTTGGATGAAAATGTTTTTCACCTTTTAAACAAGGCTAAACACCTGCGCACTCAAGATTATTAACGAATATGAAATTAATTTGAAGGCAAAATCCGAAACAAGTCTGTATACATTGAAATCAGCTTTGCGAACCTACGAAAAAATTGAAACAAAATTTGGCTAATAAGTTTGTCTTCAATCTTGAAATGTTTTTGTTGAACTTACTAACAGAAAAGCAAAACAATTCGGTTAAAACAGATCCAGAAATGAGCACAGTAGGTTAAAACTTCATAAACAAAACAATTTACGGCTACATTAATTACCATATGACTTTTAATCAATACTGAAATTTTTTCTCCAGACTTTCGACGAAACATGCGAGTTTTTGACAAAGATGTGGAGCGGAGTTATGCACTACTTGCGGCACTAAAATAACCAAAAGGAATTGAGCAGTCACATTTGGATACCAGATTTCAACCCCCTGAGCGTACCCTGTCAGCACCCCATTATATGGTGGACATTTTCAAGTTCGGTTAGTTTTTTTATATCTAATTTTTTTGAAAATATATTGAAAAAACCATAAAATTGATAGTATTGAAAACCAAAAGAATTTGAGCAGTCATATTTGGACGCCAGTTAATGATTGAAAAAATCATTAATAAAACGCCATATCTTAAAAAACAAAAAAAACTCAGCAATCATACTTTGCAACCCGTAAGTGTACCCCGACATCAGCCAATTATAGGGTTGGAACTTAAAAATCAGTTAAATAAATCGTTAAACAAAAATTTTGATAGTTTTCGGTTGCGAAAATAGGAAAAAATTAGAGTTAGAGCATTCGCGCTTCAACAGAATTTAACATGCGAACTGAGTAAACAATTCAACCATTGCAAGGTTTTGGCCTTTCAACAAACCAAGATAGCGACTTCGTAATCGTGTGCCAAGTGAAATTTCTTACAAAATACTATATAGATTAAACGTCCAACTCTTTCGTTAAAGATGCAAAAATATTACGTTTTTCAGCAGTCATACTTAGATGCCAGATTTGCAACCCCTGAACATACCCACACCGCACCCCAATATCAGGTTGAGAAATTCAAATTTGGTTAAATAAATTGTGAAACAAAAATTTTGATAGTTTTACGTTGCCAAGATTCACGCTCCAACAGATTTTGAAACGTCGACTTGAGGAAACATTTCAGCCCTTTCAATATTTTGGCCTTTTAACAGACCAACATATCGACTTCTCAAACATGTGCCATGTGAAACTTCTTGACCATTACAATATACGATATAGCTTAAATAGGCAAAAAGTGTTTCGTTAAACATGCAAAAAACAAACGTTGAAAAAGCTTTAATATGTTACCATAAGGACTTGTTAAACATGTGTCAAGTTAACGTCAAAGAAAAAAATGTATAGTAATAGACAGATGGATTCGTACGAAAAGTTGTTAACAAGAAAAATTCTAGCTCCCGATTACTGGACAATTGCTCTCGCAAATGTAAATATCCAAGAAAACACTAAAAATGTTCGAAATACAAACTTCTAAATGCCACAAGATTCGGAACTTGCCTCCGCCACTAAACCACTGCTGCTTAGTATACTAATTTTACAAATTCGCTTTAATTAAGCAATAAAAAAGCTCAAGCTAATAAGAAATGAATCTAAACAGACATATACATTTTACACAATCTGAAAGCAAACCAGAACGCATAAAATGTGAAATTGGTTTTGAAAAGTGGACTGATCATCTACAAAATTTTCAGTCGCTTGCCTCAAATGACCTTGAATGAGAAAATTGATAGTTTCATTTGCATCCAAAAAAAAATCTTACGAAGCGGTAACAAAGCCAATAACTTTTGATCAGATACTTGTTGAGGCTGAAAATTTATTTGGAAAAATCTTAAAAACGTTTGGAAATACTCACGAGATGCCAAACAATGCTAGCGGCAGAGTAATACTGTAATAATGGTCCAGCTCCATTAGGCTACGCTCTTTTTCTTTCCCCTCGCTAAACATCGGCGCGCAATTTTTTTGAACACTTTGAGCATCATTTTCATCGTAGGCATCGGGATCATCGGAACTTTCTGCTTTTCTCTGAAGCCTCTGATCGTTGGCTTTCAAAGTCATAATTCGAAGCTCTGTCATAAGTTTCTCTTTCTGTTTTTCCAAATGGATACTTTCACCGACTCGCTGTTCTTGTTTCATGAGGTTGATCAGGTCGCCCGAATCACGCATGACGTAAGGCGAGAAGTCCTGAAAACAATATGAGGCATCTTAGGGCAAGTAGTCGGACACTTCGAACAAGTAAAATTGATCCACGAGTGATGCGGTCAAACAAGGAGACATTCAAAATTTAACGCAAAACCAAATTTTTTTTTGACGCTGGCTTAGTTGAACAAAATCCTAACTTTTCAGCAAGACTAAATTGAAAAATTAGTATAGGCTCTCTTTTGAAGTCTTTAGCGAAAGAATATCAAAAGTTTCCGACGATGAATTCAGTCAAAAACATGTCATTTCAGCTTTATGTCTTTTTCTTGCCTTCTACCAGATCAAATCAAGCGAAAAATTCTTTTTAAGAACTACTTCCTATCCAGATAAATGACTTTTCGACCAGCACGAAGAAAACAACCGGTTTTTTTAAATACGGACTCATTAAGCATTTCCCTCAAGAATGGTGCTTAGTACCAACTTTCTATCTCTCTATAAGACTTATTCAGAAGTTAAGCATGCGTGAAAATTGTAAATACGGGAAAGGGGTGCTGAAAAGATCCTGCAATTATTTGGGGACAATTACGGCAGTTGTTTCTACTTTATGAGAGTTTTTTGCAAATTCAAGCACCTCCAAAAACTCACCACTGATTTGAGTCTTCCGTCGTCCGATAAGACCCAGTGAGTGGAACACGCAGTCAGCTGGACCATAAGAGACATTGTCATGAACACAATCAAAGGCACAGATGCCACGTAATGGCCATAAAGTCCATACATATGTCCAAAATCCATAACTGAGATTTTGAGGGCAGCAAAATTATGATGAGACAACTGGCTCCGATAGACTTCCGATAGTTTTGAGTTTTGACAAGGAAATATATTATTTGAGATATCTAATAATACAGGAGGAAATTGGTAAATAATAACTCAGGATTTGACAGTTACTAAGTTTGAATTACCTGTTTTTTAAAATGCAATTTTGTGAATCTTAACTTCGGAGACGCACACTGTTTAATTCGAAAGTTCTGATCATAAAAACAAGGATTGTTAAACAAATAAGCAAAAACGAAAGAAGATATTTGATTTTATTTCACTATTTATGTCATGTTCAGGTCAGATTTCACCGTTGATTTGAAATTTTAGGTCAAAGGTCGCTCAAATATTGTTTTAAATGTGGCTAATGTAGTAACTAATTTTACAACCAAGACACTATCCACTACATGATGTTTACCATTGGAGTATATTTAACATATTGACTTAATCTTCGAACCATACCTGAAACTGAAAATAAAACCACAGTTGAATCACCGTTTTAGCGACCATATGAATATGATGAAAAATAAAAGGTCTTACTGGTGCAAAAGTGCAAAGCATTTAAGTACAGCAAATAATCGTATTTTGTTACAGATTTAGACCGGACCAAATGAACGCATTTCAAATTGAAGCATCACATATGAAAACGAGAAAAAATGAAGCTCAATTATTTACAAGTTCAATCGATGTTTGAATGCAAATACAACAGACGTGGCATATTTGTATTAGCCAGATTGTTTACAAGCTCTTTTTCAAACCTGCTAAAATGAATTGTTCCAGAGTATTCACTTTTGTTTATCCAATTGCCTATCTGTGAAATATTATAATTCACCATTGAAATTATAGGAAGCAATGGTCAGAAAAAAATTCAACGAAAACAAATAAGGACACTGTTTTACAGATTTCTGAATAAAGAAAAGATTTTCTGCAAATTTGTAGCTCTTGGAGATTCAGCTACCATTATAGTACGTAACATCTGAACAAACCACAGTAGGCTCTTATAGTAGCGTATCTAATATTTATATGACGGCATGACACGTCATTGCTAAATAAATAATAAAAAAAGACTTTAAATAAAAAACGGTGTCAACGAATTTAAAGAACTCAAATCGAAAGACGTCATTAAATATGTGGTTCTTCATGAACGGAAAATTACTCATGCAAATACAGTGTATTGAAAAAGATAAAGAAATTGACAAATAAGACTAAATTTTGGTCTTATTAGTAAGGATATTCTGATGATGGGTTTCACAAGCGGACAGCTGAACTCAAAATAGTAAGACAAATATATAGCGGTTGGCAACATTATCAATTATTGATGAGTGTTTTTGGTATTTTATATGAATAATTCAGCGTGTTGGTTGCGCAAATCCACATCTGTCATTTATCGAAGGACACTAATTTCGGTACAATGCGACCAAAATAATCCGGAAAACGTTCATGTCAGACCAGAAGAAAATTTAACTTCAGCTGAAAATTTAATGTCAGACCAGATGAAATTTTAACGGCAGAAGAAAAATTTTAACTTCAGCAGAGATTTTCATGTCATACCAATGAAATTTTAACTGCTAAGAAAAATTCTAACTTTTCCACAAAATATTTTTTCAGACAATTTCAACATGGTTGTGATATTCCTAAACTGCGTAGCGTATTGTGGAATAAAAGTAAGAAGAGATATTGATAATTTACTGTTCTTGATCTTGTCTTGTTAACGAAGTTAGTAGCTGAGATTGGTTACTGTTTTATAGCATGAAATATGAAACACTGACCAACTCATCTATAACGTTTTAGTAACACCAAATGGCCTTGACCACTCTTACATAATAATAGCATAATAAATATAGTTAGCACATATGGTTACTGCAGATGCAGTAGCTAGCAAACTGTCCTCAAGGCTACGTACTGCGGATGCTGCAGTACCACATTCCCCCAGGGACCAATAAAATTTTATCTAATACATATAAAATTTTATAAATAACAATACAACGAGTTTTTCAGCTCAGTTTTTGTGGTCCCATTGATGCATGAAGGTTTTTGAGTTTTGACTATAAGTTTTTTCCGATTTCTTCTTTCTATTTTGAGTGTTTCTTAACTTCTAACGGCACTTTCCACTGCGTGCTCCACGGTTGTGTCGTATCCAAAGCGGCATAACCAAACTTCTTCCGAAATAAATGGCGTTCTAAAAGCTTCAGTCGGGTTTCCATCGGATTATTCTTGTCCGTTTTGACATTCGCCAGTCCGAATCGATACTGCTCTAGGGCCATTTCATTAATGTCTGCTTCTTCGTCCGCGCTAATGTATTTAACCGAATGTTTGACTGGGCTGCCCAGTCTTTTAGGCCCCTGGTTTTTCGTGGTTCGCTTACTACGCCTCACGCTCGCACTCCCTTGATCGTCTACGACTGAGTCGTTCGAAATTCCTGAAGGAGATCCGTGTTCGCCTGTTGTTTCTGTCTGATTTTCCGTTCTCGATTTAATCATTTCGTCCGCCGTTTTTTGCAGATCTCTAGTCAACACTTGATCGGCGAGGCTTTGCCATTCTTCGTCTCCCATGTCCTGTTTTTGGAACGCATTCAAGATTGAATTAGGTGAGCTGTCCCTTGTTATGCGCTTCCCCGACTGTCCAATTTTGGTGCTCGAACTGCCTGGTTGATCAGCTTGATCCACCGTTTCTGTTTGTCCTGGATCAGTGACTTCTTCTGCTGTTACAGCAGCTTTCTTTTTATCTTTCCCTTTGGATTTAAGTGTTCGATCTCTTTTATCCTGCGAGTCCCCTAACGGGTTTAACGCCACCTGCTTTTGTGTTTTCGGTCCCACTGTCTTTGGACCCCCGAGATTCGGCTTTGCTCGCTTTATTGCTAGGTTGAGTCCCCCACCAACAGGTGTGTCCCGCGATGTTACGACAGTCTCGCTGTCTTGAAACAGGTTCTTTGCCTGTTCCCTCGGTATATTCCATTCCTTCTCTTCTGATATCGTGTCCTCCAATAGCTCGTCATCTTTCTTCTGGTGTTTACTCTTTGGCTCCTCTGATGGACTCTTCGCCTTCTCCTTTTGGTTTGTCCCTTCCTTGGGTATCTTCGTAGGGGAACTCGGCAACTTTACCAGATCACTTCTTCGGTATACTGCTCCTGCAGCTGTTGTCACTGTTTTTGGTGAATCGAAAGCAACCTTCCCTTTGAACGGTTTTGTCAGTGCCGCCCCACTTTTTCTTGTCTCGTCTCTGCGACTGAGGTTGTGGCTGTTCCACTCCGACCCCTTTGGTTTGTCCTCAACAAATCCCTTTTCCCATGAGTAAAGAAGCTCCTTTCGCAACTCGGGGTCGATTGTACTTGTGGTGTCCACTAATTGTGAGAGGCTGGGTCCGTCATATCTACGCCGCTCTGCATTCCTGTTTGCGTTAGCCTCTAACAGGTTCCGGAGAGTTCTTGCTCTGTTTCTCTCCTGTGTCGACATACTGGCCTGTTTGAAGAGAGGACTGACATCCCTGCTTTTCTGCCCTTTTTTGACGATCTTTAGAGAATCCCGAGATTGGTCAATCCTCTTCTTGAATTAGTTTGCAGTTAATGCCGACCTCTCCAGATGCTGCTTATCTAAATGATCAGAGAATTCTACAAATTTATCTCGTATAATTTTAAACTCCGTTTTTGGTAATCTACCAAAATGTGCTTCAAACGGTGATTTCTGTATGGTTTTCTGTTTTATCCACCGCATGTCCCTAATTATCGTACTGAGACATAGTTTAATTGACTTTACATTTTCTTCCAGTAGCATCATCCCCAAACGCCTTTTTATGATTTGAATTGTTCTTTCGACTAGAACACACCCGCGATGGACGCCCACCGGGCAGAACTTTTGTTCTATATTATTTTCGAGACAGAATTTTTTCATTGCTTTTCCTTTGAATCCGGAAAATTGATCGGTTTTTATCGATTCTGGGATTCCGTGTGTATCTATGTACGACCGTAGGAATTTTATAGTGGATTTTCCCCCCGTTGATTTTGTTACTTTCACCGAAGGAAACTTCGAAAACCGATCAATCGCTGTTAGCAAGTAGATTTTCTTTCCTTTATAAACTTCTAAAGGTCCTGCGTAATCTAACTGAACCTCCTGACCTGGCTGCGATAGCAGTGGCAGTGGTTGTAAGGAATTTTTCGGTAAAATATATTTCGCATTCTTACCATACCGTGTACATTCTCTACATTCTTCCGCTAAGTTCACGATATCCTTATGCATGTGGGCCACCACAAATAATTGGACACGTCAATCATTTCCTCTTGCCCCGGATGTCCTCTATGAATGCGCTTAATAACTGCTTGACGCAGTTGAATTGGTACTGCTAGCCTATTGTCTACCAGAATGCAGTCATCGATTACTGAGAGTTGATTCCACAGCGGATTCGTATATGGGCCCATGAGTTCAAATCCTGCCCGATCCTTTCTCTCTATTACGCGACGTAATCGGTCCATCCACACATCCTCAGAGATGAGTTCAGCCAACAGCGTTTTATCGAACAGTTTCGATAAACTGAAACTCCCGACGTCTCCCATGTCTGCCAATGAGCTCTCCAACTGCGTTTGCCGTTTGTTAATCCTTTTCGAGGGTTGAATTTTCGACTTCTTGACTCAGATCGTCGTCCTCCGCGGTTAGATCCACTTCTATGATTGATTTAGTTGGTGAAACTGAATGAGTACCTGCTCTTGGGCTGCTCGTGACCATCTGAGTGACCGCCTCTAGCTCTTTGATGTTTCCCGACATCTCTTGATCTTTGCTGACCAGATCCCAAATGGATAGTAAGTTTTTTGTTTCCTCCGCGTCTTGATCCCACATTACTGATCGTGCAGCACAGCTGTCTTCTTCAAAGCTGTCTGACCCCGCTTTTTCTAGTGTTCCTCTCCTTATCCGACACGTTCAATGAAAGGTAGTCTCGGTTATTTCTTCTTCCGTTAATTTATCGCTCTCCTCCTGTGTCCTACAGTCTCCGATCCTCACTGTCTTTTTCTTCATTTTTCCGTCCTCCATTTCTTCTGAGATTTGTTTACTATTTTTGAATAAATTGACCGACTGAACTGCTCTATTGAAATTGACAAAAGTGTTCTGATTCAACACGTTATTAATAGGCAAAAAATTTGAATTGCAACAGTTCTCGTTCCGGTCGAGCTTTGTTCGGTTTTTGACAGTTTTGTTGCTATGGCAACCACGCCTGGATTTTGACAACTTGTCTTCTCTTTTCTGTTTTTGAGAATATTCTAGAACTTTTTCACTCTGAATTGTTACATCAGTATCATTCAGTCGACTGTACAAACAGTCGAGTGCTCTATGAAAACACTCAATTGAAGTGACCACAATTTTTTCATCCAATTTGGTTTCTGGCCAAGGTTCTCCGGTTGGTTCTCTAGACAGATAATCGACTATCCCCATATCCTTTCCCGGAATATGGACAATTTTGAATTGATAAGGCAATAATCTGTCCACCCATCTCGTTAATCTATATTGATATGTTTTGTTAGACGTATTGCCTTCTAAGGCGGATGTTAATGCCTTATGATCAGTGACTATTACAAATTCTTTTCCTAATAAGTAATGTTTGAAACGATCAACTGCCCACACTACCGCTAACAACTCAAGCTCATTAGAAGAATACATTTTTTCTTGATTATTCAG